TTCGAAAATGAATCCTTTATATGCTATGTCGCATTCAACAACAAATCGATGCAATGAACAAACGAGCAACAGGACATATATCAAAAATAATAAATATTTGCCAAGCAAAATGGAAACGGCAGCACCGAGCAAGAAGAAAAATGTAAAATTCTTTCTCGTGAATTACATAATGAAAGACGATGCTCTTATTTTCATTGTGTTGTTTTTTTTGTTTTTTCTTTTTCCATTTTTCGCTAAGAACTTTATTCGAAGCCATGAACAAAAATAGTATAAAGACAAGGCTCATAAGATTTTCATGCGATGTTTCGCTACTCGATATCTCACGTTCAAACAAACAAATGCAACACGAACAGAGCGAGATTCGACGAACAAAAAAAGTGTGTGTGTGAGAGAGAGAAAGAAAATATGTATATGAAACATCTAACAAATGAAAATATAATGAAACGAACAGCCGATGCAGATGAAAAATATCCAACTAAATATGTAAAGTTCTCCATTTATAATTGAAACGATCATGGAATAGAGTCAAATTATATTTTTAGTTATTTCATGTATGCGAAAATCTGTGCCAAACCCCATATTCAAGCGAAACAAAAAAAGAAAACAAATGAAAATTTTTTTGGAACTTATTCATGAACACCCCGGCATAGCATTTTAACTATGTTCATATGAGAATACGAAGTGCATTGAAATGGAGCCGAATCGTATTGAATTCAAATATAATGCATATCAGGCTAAGTTCAAGATTCCTTGGAGCCTTCCGATTTACACTGATTTTTGGTATGCAAAAAATGCTTTTGGTTGCCGCTACCACCGACACCACTACAAATCATCGCATTTTCGCATCCACAATACGTCGTCTATATGGTCCTGTTCATTTTTTTTTCTTCTTCTTCTTCTTCTCCAATGAACTATTCCAACGTGGATTGCGGAATGTGACAATAGCAACAACATTTAATGTTCCGTAACACTGTAGACAAATATTTACAATGGAACGATGCATTATATATGAGTGAAAACACGAGGACACTTGCTTCGAATTTTTACATATTGATCGAAATTTGTTGTTTTTTTCATGGTCGTGAAATGCAATTTCCACTTTTCTATAAATAATAGAAAATGTTGTATTTCTTCTTTTACTGGATAAAACGTACTTGCATGTATAATTTTTTTATCGTAGGTTTTTTTTTTGTATTGATATTTTAAGAATAAAACGCATTTTTGACTGTATTAAACAAATTTTGACCTTAGTAATAAAAAAAAAGCGAAGCAAAGCCGATTTTCTATTGCTATTGCCTCGAGGCCAGTCACTTTAGTAAAATAAATGTTTAATCGTGAAATGTGATGCGAAATTTTGAATCGATTTATGATGTGTTTTATTGATGCCTAATATTTTTTACACGGAATTCCTTATAGAATTAACAAAAAAATGTTATCCATGGAAATCAATGGAGTTGATTGGATTGTTATCCAGTGTTTAGTTGATTCATGGCCAGATTACATTCTCAGATATCACGAATATGATTTCGGCCCAGATTTTCAGTGATGCAAAAATCCATATAATAACAACCAGAATATTTTTTTTCCACACCATCTGCTGTCACTCCCCGCATCTCAGAGCATCACATAATTCCTTAAAATATTAATGCCCGTTGCTTTCTATCTGTCGAAAGAAAAACAGTGTATTCCTTCTCTTTTTTTCGCGTCGACGAAATAAACAAAATAACAAATATTTTATAAGGACAAAGTGGAATTTTATTTATATCTTTTTCTTTTGCGATTATGTATGTGTTCTCGGTTGTTTTAACCAAATTCAGTTTGATTTTCATGGAATATTTTATGTCTGTTTTTTTGTCTAACAATATCATATATTCAATGGCATCCAGAAATGACTTAATCAGAAAGGAAAAAACAATGATAGAATCGGTTAGAAACCGGCCGTAAGTCGTGTTTACATAGAAGAAAAAAAAAACAAATGAAACTGTCAAGCTGTGTGCGACACCGTGCGTGATACAATGTTGTGTTATCAACCAATTACAAAATAAAATACAATTTATTATTAAGATGAGGTTTATAAATTGACTACGATAAGAGACGTCTGGTAAGAACGGGAAGTGATGAAAAAAAAAATAACTTACTATACACACAAAATACTTATCATCAAAGTAAGAAGAATATGGGGACACAGATTGTATTTTTATGCCTGTTCAATCGCAAAGAACAATAAAATTATTTATTGTTAGTCATGTCGAGTGATTGACCCAGATATATGGATCGTATGAACAGGATTGGAATGGGATTTGAAACGTTCTACAGGTATTCATTTTGATAAAATTATACAATATATTCAAACAGAAGCAGCCGCATTGTTTAATCTTTCATTCAAATAAAATGTTCAAAATAATTTCATCATCTTTTAAATCGTCACACATTTGCTATTTCTATCTAAAAGAGATTGAAACATTGTTGCTATCTGGATCATTGTCATCAATTGAAATACGTAAGTATGTAAAAATATAATTTTTTTTTCATCACATTTAATTGCAAATCATTAAAACCAAAAAAAAGAAAAAGAAAAAAAGAACAGTGAATGGTTCAATAGTTTATCTCTAGACGTGTAATACAATGTAGTATTGTAGCACTATAAGAACAACTTATAAATATTCTTCATTTCATCACAATTTTTGTTTTAAATTACACTTAAAAATAATATGAAATGTACGTATATATATTTGATAAGAGTTGCTCCTCCTGTTTATAAAGTCAAATGCCGTACACGAATGAGACACTTAGAAAAAAACCAGTAACCAATTTAATGTGTGTTTAAAAAATGTATAGCATTTATTGCAGTTAGCTGGCAGTGGTGTTGAATGGCACTTCAAAGAACAGTTTCGGTAATTCATGTGAATTATGTACCGATTCGAAATCAAATCAAATGCAAACACATTTTATTTTATCAACATTGATGGTCAAACATAAATTAGTAAATATGGACATAAGCATGACTTTCGAATAAAACAGCAACAGAAAAAGTACCAACGAGCTCGAGTACAATGTGGCTTAAAATGTTCAATTTAATTGTAAATGTGATTCAAATCATGAATTTCAGATTCAAATATTGCAAAATGCATTCTTTTATGCATAAAATATGTCGTAAGAGAAATGAACGCATTTACATCAATCGCACGCATAATAGACACACATATACGTATGACGTATGTGCATATCAATAGAGAAACCAAGGACGGGGGAGAGAGAGAAGCGCCCAGAAGATCAATGTTAACACAATGAATATTTAAAAATGAGTACACATGTACCGCACCGGGCACAACGGGATATTCAAGATACTAGAATTATTCGTTACTAAGATAAAAATGTCGTTTCCAAATCATAATTCATAGAATATTCAACTTCCGCATTCACGTGCATTTCAGATTTACGGCATGTGAAACAAATTGATGAATGTCATCCCTGTATAAAAATACACGACATGGTATTTACATGCATTTCTGCGATGTAAAATCTGTTATCATGAGAATTTTCAACTTTAATCCGTCCAATGGAAAATACCTTAATATCCAACCGAAAAAGCGTATATATTGGTGATTCAATCGAATTTCGGTTGAACGAAGAAGAAGACCAACAAAAATGGATTCTTTTAGAAAAATGCATGTGATGTGTATATGTTCTAGGTATATTTGCTTAAAAATTATCACTTGAGCAAGAAAATAATCGACTTTGATGTTGCCCAAAAACTTCCAATCAATTTTCAAACGCAAAACTATAACGAGTATGATAAAAATGCATACAAAGTATTCGGACATTTGGTTGGAATCGCATTAGCTTCGTGGAAATCAGAGACCATCAAGCTTGTGAATTGTACAAATACAATTGGGCCTCTCCCGCTCTATGTCTATGCCTATTTGTACATAGAGTGAAAAAGAAATGAACACATTTCTGTTGATTCCCCACTCGCAATATTCAAATTTTGAGAGTAAAAGAGTAACATTCGTCGTGTGTTGTTTTCTTTCTTCGTTGTGTTTTTTTTTTGTTTTCATTCTTTTTTGAAAATTGTGTGTATTTTGCTGTTAGCGGTGCGCTGAAATTACCATTGCCATCGCCATCGCTGAGTCGATTACCGTTACCGTTGTCAATACTTTGTATTGTTTTCTGCCGTCTTTTTTTTTTTGAATTGCATAGTTGAAAATATTGCAATTTTTACACGGAAAACTTATCGAATACCCAGTGGTTGAATATTGTAGGCGCATGACACGATCGAAACAACATCGATTCAAAACGTAAAACATAACAGCAGTGCCAGAGCACCGAGCTATTCTATTTGTATGTGTGTTGTTGTTGTTGTTTTGTGTGTGTGTGTAGCTGCTGCTGTTTCTGCTACTGCTTGCTTTTGATATTGTTCAATTTTTAGTTTTTGTTGGTGCTTTTAATTTTTTATTTCTCAATTCTCATTTCTATTCATCATCTGTGTGCGCCTTTATGGAATCCGCACTTACAAAATCATCAGCAGAGTGTTTTCTATTGTATAGAAACGTACGGCATTGTATGCATGTGTGTCGCACTGGACTCTCTTTAGTCCCGCTGCTGGCAAACAGACGTATTGGAGGCGAAGCATACACAACAAACATCTACATATATATATATAAATATAAAAATTAGTTTTTGGTTGGCGTTCGTCTATATTGTATATATGAATACACACTTATTTATATCTATATATACAAAATATTCACCTTTTTTTCTGCATGTGCACGCGTGTGAGCGAGCGAGCGAACGAGCGCGAAGCCTGCATATATACGCTGTGCCATATCACACTTGGCTTCAAAAACTGAACTGTTAACTTGGTGTTGTGTTGTGTGTCGTGTCTCTGCGTTTTCTAGTTGGTTGCGTGGTGAGACTATACGCTTGTGTGTGCGAGAGCCAAAGACAGTCAGTTGCCGAATCATGTTTTATATGGTGGAGGAGCAAACTACGGTTTGTTTCAATTTGTAAGCATTTAGTATCGTGCTACATGTATTCGGTGCCAGAAGTCACAGCAAACGACACCAGGCTCATACAAAATAGATACATATCTCGTCAACAAAAAGATATCTCGATTGTTTTGATGTATCTTAAAATTTTGTTTTTGTAAAATTTAAAACTGTGGTTTACGTAAACTTTTTGTCCTTGTTGTCATTGTTTCTTTGCGTTTAAAGAATTTATTTAATCTTGTTAAATGTGCAACTCACAATCAGCTTAAAATTGGAGACGAACAAAAAAAAAGAGAATTAATTGAAAAGTGCGCACCTTGAATTTTCGAAAACTTTCCTTTAAGTTAGTAGAGATCGGTTTCCGTTCGTTACAGACATTATAATTGGTTTTATTCAAATTGTTTTTCTTATCATATTTTCGAGATTTGTGATAAAAAAGGAAGGAAGGTGAAAAAGAAACAAACACACACCAAATATTAATCAACAGAAAAAGAAAAAAATCATAGCAAATCCAATAAAATTGTTTACAATCGCGAAATGCAAACATTCAATTCGAACTCCGGCGCAAAATTTTCTTGTGCTCTGATTTTGTGATCCAAATGAATTCGAATATACACTATACCCATACAAAGCATATATTGTCTTTTATCGAATTAGTTTGATCCATTGTTTTCAATTGTTGATGCAATTTGCAATATATTCGATTTTGTGGTATTAACAGCATCAATCACGTGCAAGTGTTATTGTTCTAATACATTGAAGAAGACAAGTTGATAAGTGTTATCATAAGTGAATTTTGTGGCTAAGTTGAATGAAAAATTCGACGATCAACATGCCATTTTTCCAACAATCAGTGTGAATGAAAGAGAAAAAAAAATTCACAAGAAGATTTTTTCCTTTTGGCAAGAATATATTGACTTGCAATTGATTTTAAATTTAAACTACTAATGTGAATCGACGCATATGAACTAAAATTTGAGAAAAGAAATAGACATAAAAAAAATAGTTTACAGTTACTACATCACTCAATTAACCTTTTGAACGTACACTGACAATGTGATAACTAAACGTTGTTTATATGAAAATATGATGTGAATAGAAAAAAAAACAAGATTTTCTTTCAGTTTTATATAAAAAATAAGAAAAAACTGGCCGTTTAAATAAAGTGAAATTATATTTAAAAAAATCCAAAGTTTGAACTGAATTAAAGTGATATTGAAAACGAACCGATATTTGAAAATTAGACTGGTTAAAATTTGAATTTGACAAAACAAATAATATAGCAACAATGCCTGACAGTCCTCAGCCTGTTTCGCGTCATTCAACGTCGCCCAAGACACCAGCTTGTAGTCCACCATTGATTGCTGATGTTAAACCATCGCCATCATCAAAGGCTAACTCGCCAACCGCATCGCCGTCGCTTCCAAACTCATGGCACAATGCACAGGTTAATATCTTGCAATGCATCGTTTATTATTTCTGATGTAAAATAAAAATGAGCGCAAAAAAAAACTTGACAAAGGCACCTTAAAGGCCATTACAAAGTTTAGGATCAATCAAGAGTTGAAGGAGGACTGGCACACAAAAATACAATGAATTTTTTTAAAAACTTGATAAAATATTAACGTAAATAGAAAAATTAGATGTTAAAGAGTAAATTTGGTGTTATCAACGATCGCTGCCACTCCAGTTTCACTTGATTTGAACTATTCATTATGTTGACTGATAAGTTTTTAGCGGTTCATTTTTTGCAATGAATTTTTTCTCTCTACATCTCTCTCCCTCTCTTTCTAACAAAAAACCCAAAATGTAATCAATTTACAGACCAATTATAAACCACAAACAACGTCCACACCGTTAACCAGTGAAAAATCACCATTGAATCCGCAACAGTATTGTTTACGTTGGAATAACTACACATCAAATCTAACGAATGTATTCGATCAACTGTTGCACAATGAATCGTTTGTTGATGTTACACTTGCCTGTGATGGCAAATCGATAAAAGCTCACAAAATGGTCTTATCAGCCTGTTCACCATATTTTCAATCATTATTTTTTGAAAATCCATGCCAACATCCCATTGTTATATTGCGTGATGTTAAATGGGCTGAATTGAAATCGGTCGTTGAATTTATGTACAAAGGTGAAATAAATTTGGCCCACGATGAAATCGGGCCGCTTCTCAATGTTGCCGAAATGCTAAAAATTCGCGGTTTGGCCGATGTCAAAGGTGATCATGATGCAATTAAATTGGAACATTCATCAGCATCATCGGGATCATTGCCCGAAATAATACCGGTTGCAAAACAACCGAAAATAAATGCATCACCCGATTGGGATCTAAATAAAATCGATTTTCTAATGCGAAATGTGTCCGCATCATCGTCACCATCAGCAACCACCAATGCCAACAACGTCAATCGAAACCAAAGAAAACGTAATTGGCCCAATGGTAGCGGCACAGCCACACTAGCAAACCCATCGAATTCAAGTAGCACAAGCAATCACACAATTAGCCTAAGCAGTAGAAATGTGAAAAACAATAATGGCAACAGTAACAGCACAAACAACAGCAATAACAGCAGTAAGTGTATATTTTAATAAATTCGATTGATTTTTTATTAGACATTAAGTAAAATGTGAATGTGTTTATGTTGAAGTCAATTTTGATTTGTCGGTTTAAAATTGCATTGGCATCCGTACAGTGTGAAAAAGTTCATTAAAAAAAATATATTTCTTTCAAAGAACGAAAATGAAAGATAGATATTTTGAGAGACAGATTGAAATAAGTCGTAACTCATTTCACTTTCTTTCATTCGTACTGTTAATTCACAACGTTTTGGCTGCCACGCGCTTTTGAAAACGAGCACAAGTGTAGCAAACAATGTATAAATAATAGAACAAATAGAAACAACTACGCTTATTTAAAATATATATATATTTTTTTTTTTAAATTTCCACTCATTTTGAAATATTTTTTGTTTCAGTTTTAAAGAATAATAACATTTAAATTGAAGAAAATAAAAGAAGAGTCGACGTAAGCAATTGATTAAAATGATTTTTTTTGTGTACAGGTCTTCCACACACTGATTCACAATCAAATGATGATATGGAAATAAAGCCTGTGAATCCGATCGATGGTTTAGAGACACGTTCACAGTCTTCACTATCGGAAGATCTGCCGGTTGATGCATCAAACACGCCAACACCCCCGACCGTTCGAAATTCTGGATTAAACATTCCCGATGCTGGATCGTTATCATCACTTAGCGGTACTATGAATATTCCTTTTCTTTAAATATCTTGGCACTGTCTTCAATTATTAATATTCTTTTGATTTTGAAACATTTGCCTTATGCAAAGTGATATTAATAAAATTGACGAGAATTTTTCCATTCGAACTACTTCATCGACTATGTATGTTTATGAAAAACTCTGTTCTATTTTCTGTCTACAGGTCTTCCGCACGCCGATTCACATTCAAATGACGATATGGAAATAAAGCCAGGCATCGCTGAAATGATACGTGAAGAAGAGCGCGTAAGTTTTTAGTCTTTCGTTTTTGTTTTGCATTTTGTTGTATTTTATTTCTTATTCTCTCAATTTGCTCTTTATGCGTTGCCAAATGAATAATAAAAGGCAATTGCTTTATTAAGCATTCGTCTATAGCAAATACAAAGAGCTAATCATGTATAAATGTGAATAGTAAACGACAATATTTTACTATTTTATTTAAAATCAAAATATATATTTTATGATTTTTTTCGTTTTGGAATACAAATGAACAAATCACAATAAAACTTAAATGAATAGATATTAAATTTGTTTTTGTTAATTTCTTTTGAATATTGATGTTTTATGGGCGTTTGATTGGAAAGATAGAGATTTGATGTCGATTTTTGTTATTTCTAGGGGAATTATTCATATCAATGAGAATAAAAAGACAATTTTTCATCTCATATCTCTCTGTTAAATGGATTTCTGTAAATAAGAGTAAACATATATCCACGACATCTGGCGCACAGTTGACGCCGTACGATGTCATGACTACATTTTTGTCTTTGATAAATATGGATGGAAAATATTTAGATTTATATTTATTGCGTTCATACTTACTTTCTAAAGTTGCAGATTTAAAAGGGGGTGATTTGAAAAAATGAGAGAAATTAGTAGAAAATGTCAATCTATCTAGTGTAAATCACATCTCGGAAAAAAATTGAAAATGGATTTTTAATTGCACTCGTATGAATTCGAATTATGACCCGAAACCCTAGCAAATCGAAAAAAAGATGTTTTCAATTTCGAGACAGTAACGCATCGCCACCAGGACCTTTCAGGTCCTTGCTCCGGAAGTATGCCTGCACTTTTAGTTCAATTAGAATGATCTAATTCGCCATTATATTCAATACTTACATACTAAATGTCTCTGTATTTCACTTAAATCATATTTCTGTGCAAAAACATACTCTCGTTTATCGTACAACAAGTCATAAAAACGTGCTAGATGTATACCGCTAGCAATATAATAAGCGTTTTATTTCTCGCTGTTTTGCATTTTCTTGATGTTGACAGTATCACCATTTTGGTATGAAGTTTTATTGTTCGCATTGTGCTTTCTTCGTTTGCGAACGAATAAAGCAAAATAATTCAATTCGGCAAAACAAATATTCAAAGAAAGCAATTAAAAGACGAAAGAAATATTAATTTTGTCAACGTTATTTAAAAAAAACCAATTGGTGAAAAAAAAAAGTCTTTTTTCCAACAAAAATTTATAGGTGTTATTAAAAAAATTGCCTACGAATAGTAAAACACAGATACAGACAGGAGTTGCTTGAGAATGTTCGAGCAAATTATTCGAAACGATTAAATTGGTCGCCGTCACCTCTGTCATACGTGCCATGTTTCCTTTACACCTTTTTTTATTATGGTGCCACATTTTTCTCAAATAAGAGCTATTAAGCACCGCATATGCACACGCTTATACATAATAAACCCATCACATTCATCGAGCACAATCGTACTAATCAACGCATCGAATTATTTCACATTGCACCGTACTGCATTATAACCCCAACAAGCATTATGTTTATATTAAAATATTTTAATTTTTTATACATATATCTGCTTCCATTTAGATTCAATCTATTCACTATTTCTCTCTTGTGTGTGTGTGTGTCTGTTTCGTTGAGCAGGTCAAATATTGTGTAAGTGAGTGTTCGCCCTTCGCGAAAAAGTGTAATTTTTTTTATCCATTTCTTCGTTTTTGTTTGCAGCAAAAGCCTTTCATCACTGTTTATTTTAATTATTAAAATTGTTTGTTAATATCGTTGATTGTTTTTGCCTTTGGTTGTTTCCGTCTTCAGATCACAACTTGGCTGCAACTATAACGTGATGATAGAATATAAAATTTCTTTTGAAAGTAGTTTTGAAGTTTATGTCTACATCATGAAACAGCTCAACGCGTCTACGAAATTTAACGAAAAAAAAAAACAACAAAACTCTCTCACACACACACATAGTGTTATGCTTAACCCCGCCGATGCGTAAGAAGGAAATGCGACAAAATATAAATATATAAAAAAAACGAGTAAAAACAACGAAGAAGAAAAAACACACATGCACACGATCGTCTGACGGACGTTTTCAGATGAACATCATGTACGATTTTCTTCTTCTTTTTTTGTTTCAATAAATAAAAATGGAATTACATATAAGTGGAAATACCATCAGCACATCAGATAACTGTTTTCAGTTGAATACAACGCCGACAGTGAGATTATGTGTATTTTCTGTTTGTCTTTCAATAGGTTGATGCCGTGTGCACACTCACAATATATGAATAAATTCATTATATTTTGCTTTTCACTTAAAAATTCATTTCGAATTTACCCTTCATATTTTCGTTAAATCAGAACTCTATCTGATCACTTTACATGTTGCTATTGCATTACATTTTCCATTTACTTAATGTTGTTTAGAAAAAAAAAAAACGACAAAGAAAAACACTATTGGTTAAACGATCACATTATCTTGTTTCCTTCATTTCATGCATTTGAATTTCGTCATGGATTCAAATGATAAAGAAAATGTAAAATGCTTTCAAGGAGAGGAAAATAACGATGAAATGAAGAACAAAAAAAAACAACTAATGATCACATGCGTTGAATTAACGTGAAGCAAAAACATGATACATCTTTTATCATTTGGTTGATTTTTCGGCATTTTCCAAATACAAGTGAAACGACGATTGAAATTTGTTTGCACCATATTTTTTATTCTAAGTATAGAAATGTGCGGCAAATGACAATTTTGAAAATGAAAATGATTACTAAATATGAAATTTATTACGGAAATGTGCATAAAATCCTCTTCAAATTACCATCGACTAATGTTCAGCGTTCTCTGAGTGAATTCAGTCGATTTGGCGTTAATTGCACGACATTTTTTCTCTTCAAAATCATCTTTCTCTCTCTCTCTGTGTATGTATGTATGTGTCTCTCTCCTCTCATTCTTATTTGATTGAATGAACAAGACAGCGGACAAACAGAATGCTCTCTCATCATGAAATCACTATGGTTTCCTTAAAGTCAGACTAAATTGTTTATATTTTTACTAACAAAACAAAACCAAAAATGTTCAAGCAAATAAATTAATTATTATTTTATATGAAATGCCGAACGGAGGAAGGTACATGTGTCACCACAATTTCTCCTTAAATGGTTGAATGCAAACACAAACACTTACAAAATGATGTTTAGTGATGCATATGCAGTGTGTAAACATCGAAAGGAAATTAAGAAAAAAAAATACACACAAAGAGAAAGAGACAGTACACAATATTACAATCGCACGATTACAATTTACAGAATAAATGCAATGTGAGAGCAAAGAAATTAAAAAATATATAAAAAGAAGAAGAAATGAAATGGAATGTTTATCTCACTAAATAACTCAAATTATAAAAATATAATTATAAGTTATAATCGCATTTCGAATATATACACACATACATATCTCAAGTGTACACACAGCGAGACAGAGAGACGATCATTTAAAGCAAGTCACTACCAAAAAATAATAATAATGATAAAAAAACACAACACTAAATGCATTTAATGCAACCGAACATAATGCGGCAAGCATCAGTGTTTTTAAGTTCATATTTTTAGATTTTCCTTTCGAAAAACATTTAAATGTGTTATATTACCGATACAATGAGAGCACGCGGTGTTCCGTTCATAATCTCAAATTTCTCTCATATTTGAAAACACTGGCAATAATAACAAATATCCGTATTTTCAATATTTATATATATATTCATATGCTTTTTTTTTTGTTAATCCATTGAGCATTGAACATTTGTACCGACGACATTTCGGTTTTTCCGTCTTTGGACGGCTGTTTTGTTGGTTGTTCGCGGTGTGCAATGATTCGGTGTTCCTTGTTACAGTGTACAGTAAGAAAGTGATGTGAATGAACGACAAAGAAAAAGAATTAAGAAATTACAAAATTAAAAACGATAAAGAAGAAAAAAAAAATAAACAAACACACACAAATGCAACAACAACAACAACAAACATACACACACCGAGAGAGAATGAAAACAAAAAAACTGCGCCAAGGAAAAAAAATATATCTCTCATTTTAACCGAGAAGAAAAATCATGTAAACATTATATTTCGACCAACATTAACATCGTACACAAAACAAATGTTGCATATGGTCTCCAGCTGTTTGCTTCCATATCATTCATTTCATAGTGAACTCTTTTTTCGCTTCATTTCATGCTATCTTGTTCGCACTCGTACACGCGATGACTTGAATGCGATTTCGTATTCGCATCTTCGTGTGGCGTTCTCTTTTTCTCTGTGTATCAAGACTGTGATTTTTTCCATTGAACTGCATTCTATTTGTCTAATGTGAGCGCCGGTTTCTCATACACATCTTCATACAACTTTTTTTTTAATATATAAGCCTGCTTGTCATCTTCTCGCTGTCCCATATGAACCAAATACTCACTCCACTCGATCAATTCATTTTATTTTTCTATTAAAATTATTTGATCATTCAACTTTTGATCGCAATATAAAGAAAATATACAAATAAGGATGCATTAAATTTGGAAGAAAAGTTCATTTCATAAAGACGTTCATCCAATTTGTATTGGATAATGGAATAAATAAATATTGTTTATTAAATAATAAGTCTGTTTTATACTAATATCGAATGAAAACATAAACATGTCGCCTGATTTTTCATTTCAAGTGATTTTGTCCTCACATTCGTTTTCGGTTTTTTGTATTCATACACAATACATATAGATGGCACCGTCTCTTTTATTATACGCTGATATTAAGTAATTTTTATTTGGATCAACAATTAAAAATAAACCACGAAGACGACGTTTAAGAACGTGTGTGCATGTGTACGTGTTTAATCTGCATGCAATTTGTTTAGTTAACAAACCGTTCGAAAATTTCATCCAGGAAATTATCTCAAGAGACGGGGCTCAAGTGTATCGAATCATTTATACGAAAGAG